GTGCCTCATCTTTGTGTGGCACTGGGAATTTAGACCCCACTGCAAGCAGCTCCCAGGGAAGCCTCAGCAGAGCTGTGGGGTCACTGTCTGTGGAGCTTCCCCGTGCACCTGTTCTTCCATTCCCAGCCACGCTGACCTGGTCCCAGCCAGATACTCAGGGTGATGCTCCTTCTCCTCGCCATGGACATGCTGTGGCTGCAGTTGGGACCAAACTCTTCATCCATGGAGGCTTAGCTGGAAATACTTTCTACAATGACCTGTTCTACATCGACACAAGTGAGTGTGGGTACCACAGGGCAGTGTGATGCGCTTTGTTTTGGGGGAACTTTCTTCCTAAAATAACGGTTCCTATGTTCTTCAAATATTACCCTTTTGGTTTAAACCAACCAAACTCGAGGGTTGTGTATGATGCATAAACATAGATGTGTTTTGTCCTGCACCAGATGACCTGAGGTGGGTGAGGGTAGCAGCCACTGGTGATGTCCCTGGAGGACGAGCATCTCACTCCTCAGCTGTGTTTAAGGACCACTTGTACATCTTCGGTGGAATAGGTCCAGATGGGATCCTGGATACTACATACAAATATGACACAGGTAGGGAGACTGACCCAGGTGTGTGATGGAAAGTGCCACTTAGCTGGGAAATGTATTACCTGCTCCTGCCCTGGGCTTCTCCCCCCTAGAGTTACACCATTGTTCTAATTACTTGTGACACTGAAAGCTGTGACTGTCTTTGCACTTACAGGGAGGCAGCACTGGACACTCCTGCAGTTTGAGGCCCCTATGCCACCTGGGAGGTTGGACCATGCCATGTGTGTTATTCCCTGGAGGACTGGGAGAGCTGGAGAGACCACGGATGAGACAGAGCCACCCACGGACACAGGAGTCACCAGGGGTGGGACAGAGCCACCCATGGACACAGGAGTCACCAGGGATGGGACAGAGCCACCCATGGACACAGGAGCCACCAGGGATGGGACAGAGGTGCCTGTGTCAGGGGCTGACAGAGCTGATCCCCTCCAGGAGGGTGAGGGGTGTGCTGAGGACACCACAGTGCATCTCCTGTTGGTATTTGGTGGGATGGACATGCAAGGGAAGATCCACAGGGACTGCCTGGTCAGCCTTATCGAGTAGTGGCCCTGCAGAGCCTGTGATGCTGGTGCTGTCCAGTATACAACTCTGAGGGACTGACTGGGGCCATGTGACCCCCAGCCCAGGGACCAGGGCAAGGGCAGAGGGGGTTTAAGGCACCACTGGAACTGACACAGCTCCTTCTGTCTCAGTTCCATGTCCTGTCTAAGCCATGGATGGCACAAAGATCAGTTAAATAAAAACAATGAATTCCAATTAGGATTATTTGTTTTAAGAACATTTATGAGGTATAGACTAGTTTTCAGTCCAGAAAACTACTTTGTTGTTTAATGTGACTTTATTGATGAAAGCTCTGTGGAAGTTTTAATACTAGAGGAAGTTGTGTTTGTAGTTCAGGTCCTCTCCTCTCTCCCTGCTGTAGGCACAGGGTTCTGATGAATAACCTCTAGCTAACCTCCCTCCCAGCTCTGGGAAAGCTGCACAAGTCAGGAGAGATCAGTGACCTGCAGAAACTGTTACCAGGTTCAATTCTTCTTCCCTTATCAGGATCTGGCATCTCCTGTAGCTGGAGCATGAGGATGAAGTCCACCAGCTCACCTCACCTGCACATGCCAGGAGCCTCAGCTGCTGCCCAGCTCCTGTTTTCAGACCTCCCACTCTGTCCCTTGCCAGCTTTCTCCACTCTTGGTGAACTTCGGGCTGTGCAGGCAGAGCACAGGGCAGGGGGAGCTCACCTCCAGGTACAGGTGTTGCTGCCTCCACGCCCCCAGGAGAGGTGCCTGGAGGGGGTGAGCTGCATCATGCCCCTTCGGGTGTGATCCGGGTCCTGGATGGGCAATGGAAGTCACAGAACTAGAGCAGAGTCCAGTGTAAATAACAAATTTATTGTGGCCACTTCAGGTAGAAAAGCTCTACACCAAGTTCACATGACCGAGTTGTTAAATAGGATGTTCCACTGCCAATATCCTAACCCCCAGTGACACTCCCCCCCTGCTCCCTCCCCAGACATCGAGCGACTGCTAACGAAAAGCAGGATACAGCCACGTCGGGCTAGCGGTTCCAGCTCCACTCACGAGTGAAGATTCAAAGGTACATTCCAAATTAAGAGTCCAATATTTTAAACAAGTGTTCCTGAGTCCAATATATACACACACCACATTCAGACTCTGTATCTACAACTCGTCCTTCTCTGCTGCCTCCTCCTCCCCGGGGGGAGGGCCCGCACTGCCGTACAGCTTGCTGACGATGGGCTGCACCACCTCCTCCAGCTCCTTCTTCTTCGCTTTGAAGTCTTCGATGTCTCCATCCTGGTGGCTTTCCAGCCACTCGATCTTCTCCTCCACTGCCTTCTCTATTGTCTCTTTGTCCTCGGAGGACAGCTTCCCGCCCAGCTTCTCCTTGTCCCCGATCTGATTCTTCAGGGAATACGCATAGCTTTCCAGCTCGTTCCGCGCATCGATGCGTTCCTTGAGCTTCTTGTCCTCCTCAGCAAACTTCTCGGCGTCGTTTACCATCCTCTCGATCTCCTCCGGCGTCAGGCGGTTCTGGTCGTTGGTGATGGTGATCTTGTTCTTGTTGCCGGTGCCCTTGTCCTCGGCGGTGACGCGCAGGATGCCGTTCACGTCGATCTCAAAGGTGACCTCGATCTGGGGGACGCCGCGGGGGGCAGGAGGGATCCCTGTGAGGTCGAACGTTCCCAGCAGGTGGTTGTCCTTGGTGAGGGGACGCTCGCCTAGGGGAAGACAGGAGACACAGTTGGTTTCTCGCTCAGCTGTGGTTTGTACTTTGTGAAGCCACAAGTGACACACTTTCATCTACAAAGTACCTGCAGCAGCGAGAATGGAATCCCCCTACAGACCCACTCCAGCTGCCACCTGGGGCAGCACAGGTGTCACCTACCTTCGTAGACCTTGATGGTCACAGTTGGCTGGTTGTCAGAAGCTGTGGAGAAGATCTGAGACTTCTTCGTGGGAACAACAGTGTTTCTTGGTATCAGTTTGGTCATGACACCTCCGACAGTCTCAATACCAAGTGTAAGGGGACAGACATCGAGCAGCACCAAGTCACCTGGAACACAAGGGCAAGAGTGTGAGGTGACTTCAACTGGCAACAACATCCCAGCACTGCAGACAGGATCCTGAGGCCTCAGGGGCACAGAACGCCAAGGATGGAAAAGATTAAGTCCTGCTGCATTTACTTGTCAATGCTCAACACCCACTGTTCAGTCAGCGCTCCCGAGGTGACAGTAGAGGTGCCATTACCTGTGTCCTGGTCCCCAGAGAGCACTCCAGCCTGGACAGCTGCACCATAGGCCACAGCCTCATCTGGGTTGATGCCACGAGAAGGCTCCTTCCCATTGAAGAACTCCTTGACAAGCTGCTGGATCTTGGGGATGCGAGTGGAGCCACCAACGAGGACAATCTCGTCAATATCAGACTTCTTCAGGTCAGAATCCTCCAGAACCTTCTGAACAGGCTTCATTGTGGAACGGAACAGGTCCTGGAAAGAAACCCCCCCCAGACCGTCAGGGTGTGTTCCCAGCATGCCCAGTCTGCCCCCTGTGCAGCCCTGGGGTACAAGGGACACCAGGTGCTGGTGCCCAGGCCTGGCAGGAGCAGCTGTCTGCTCTTCTGTGCAAGCAGCAAGTTATTTATACTCCAAAGTGCAATGTCACAGCGTGAGCTGCTGCACATTCCCAAGCCCCCAATCCAGAGCTAAGCAGTGTAACTTCAGCCTTTCTAAACTTACCATGTTCAGCTCCTCGAACTTGGCTCGAGTGAGTGTCTCTGAGAAATCCTCTCCCTCAAAGAAGGATTCTATTTCAATCCTGGCCTGGTGCTGCGATGACAGTGCTCGCTTCGCCTTCTCCACCTCCCTCCTCAGCTTCTGCACGGCTCTGTTATCCTTCCTGACATCCTTCCCAGTCTTCTTCTTGTACAGCTTGATGAAGTGCTCCATCACACGCTGGTCGAAGTCTTCCCCGCCCAGGTGAGTGTCCCCATTGGTAGCCACAACTTCAAAGACTCCATTGTCAATGGTGAGGAGGGAGACATCGAAGGTGCCACCGCCCAGGTCGAACACGAGGATGTTCTTCTCCCCCTCTCTCTTGTCCAGTCCGTAAGCAATGGCAGCAGCTGTTCTGTACACGGAACAGCATGTCAGAGGGCTCAGTGCCACCCCACACCTCCTGGGGCAGGGCAGGGGCCGAGGCTACTCACGGCTCGTTGATGATCCTCATCACGTTCAGCCCTGCAATGGTGCCCGCATCCTTTGTGGCCTGGCGCTGCGCGTCGTTGAAGTAGGCTGGGACTGTGACCACGGCATGGGTGACCTGGGCAGAGAGGGACAGCTGGTTAGAGCAACGAGACAAAACCACAGGCCACAGCTAGACCCAGCGCCCACAGCAGTGCAGCCGGCAAGTAGCCCATTTACCCACCACCACCTGAGGGGCCCAGCTCCACTGGAAGGGGCCCAGGGTGGCAAAGTTAGTCCTGACTCAGCCCACACATCTGTCTCCTAGAGCTGCTGCTCCAAGTCATGCTGAGCAGCTCTCCTGCACTTACTTTCTTGCCCAGGTAAGCCTCTGCTGTTTCCTTCATCTTTGTCAGGACCATTGCAGAAATCTCTTCAGGAGCAAAGGTCTTTGCCTGCCCACCTCCAACATCCACCTGGATATGGGGTTTGGCTTTCTTCTCAATCACCTGAGGGGAACAATGGATCCTGTCTCACTCGGCCATCCCTGCAACCATCACCACGTGTTCCACTGGTTCTCCAAACATCAAGCAAAGCCTCTGTGACAGCCGTC